GGATACTGAAACTAGCATCACTGTGGAATAAAAGAGAAGAAACACCCTTTTGTGTAGGATGCCTGGATTAGGGTCAGCAGATTGCTTCTGCCTCTTTCCTTAGTCCTTTTAGCATTCCTGGTTCTCATGGCACCTTTGCACTCGACAGTAAGGGTAGAAATTCCTTATCACTTATATTGAAGAATTCAAAGTGCAAATATGAGATGCTCAAGAAAAGAGCCGTGTTTGGGAACTGAGATAAATTTAAAAAACACCCTGTTTTCTGCCCAAAACAAATATCCTGATTTACATAGTTGTGGTCTAACAAATAACTTTGTTTCACTTAACCTGCTTTATACTCGGCCATACCTGTTTAGTCAGTGACAAGTAAGTTTAAATACCCTCTGATTGCCAGCACACCACAAAAAGGTGCTGTGACTCTTGTCGGCTACCATGCAGTCAGATCACTTCAGTGCAAACAGGCTGGAGCTCAGAGAGTGGTTGTTATTGCTGGCTGTATCTGAAGAAGTGCAGCTGGTTCTGCAGTTGCAGAACTGCCTTCTCAAACAATTGATTTAAACAGGCATCAATTAATGGGTAGTTTAAATGAAATGTGTGACTTGGGGCATCACTGGTAAACTTCCAGAAAGCAGCAGTGCTCACAGACACCTGTGAACACCAAGAAGAGTTCTGACAAGCAGCTGCTCATGCAGCTTTGCTGGTAAATACCAGCAAGCCCTTGAGAAGCAGATGTAACTGCTACAGCCCTGGAGGGGGGAGATGCAAATTGCCAGCCTGTGTTCCCTGCAGTATGCTCTGCAACTGGCTAATAACAAGGCCTCATTTCTGTGACAGAGAAAACAAACCACTTTTTCACTCTCTTGCAGCCTTTTCCACAGAGGCTTGCCGTGACAGACGTGAAGTGGCTGCACAGGGCGCAGAGTTGTTTGTGGTTTGGTTTGGCTTTTTAATGTAGTTGTTTTCTACCTGTGGAAAGTGATGTCCTAGTTTGGAGAGCAGCAACAAACACCACTTCTTGAAGATTTCTGGGTGCTTCACCTTTGAAAAAGCAGTGTGGCTCCTCAGCCTACATTGTTTACTCCCCCCAGTTTGGTGGTTGTTTCGGTACTTCTTTTGCTTTTTGAAATGTCTGTATATTCTCCTTAGCGCTGTGTATGTAGTGTTGCGTAGGCAGGTTTTTTCCAGAGGTGATAAGCTCACATCCAAGAAAAAAGTGAAAGAGGCCTTACAAATCCTTGCTTGAAATAGTGGTTAGAATACATCACTAGAGAGCAGTGTTAAAATAGGGAATGGGAATGGTTTGGTAATTAGAGTGTACGTCAAACTCCAATTCAGAACTTGATGACAGAAAGCAAGGAATGGATAAATACCCATTTTGATTGTTTGTCTGTTTTTAACAGACTGCTTTAGCTGTACATTTAAAAAAGGCAGAACTTCAGGAGGAGCCAAGGGTTGATTTATTGGTCATGAACAACATTAATACCTTTTAAAATGACTATTGCTGGGGAACACTGTAGCAAACAGTAAAATCAGTTGCAGTGTTCTGCTTAATTACAGAAGAAGCCTGAAATGTCAAAATTATTAAGCTAATGTATTCTACAAGGAGTATGAGCATCATCTTGTCTGTTTGGGAGTTCAGGAGATCTTACTCTGCATTATTCTCAGTTCTGGCCTTGGTGTATCTTTAGAAGTGCAGTGCCAAAGAATTGAAAAAGCAGAACTTATTGTTGTCATTATTAAACTTCCATAAGATTTTAGGGTAAAATTTGGTTTATGGTTAAGTTAGTTTAAAATTCAGCATTGCAAAATAAACAGCATATGTAGACAGCCTTTGCCCTTAGTTAACCATAAGCCTCTTAATGATCATAGGAGGAGCAGTTGGGCAGTACTTGGAGCAGGGGTACGTTATGCCAAGATCTCTGGCCCAGTGTTCTCTCTGAGAAGACACATGCCTTTCAAGTGAAATCAGTGCAAGTTCTGTAGATCCATAGATAGCTATTGTTAGCTCTGTTGGGGTGATGATGACACTGTCATTTTTGCAGAAGTAGATTCAAGTCAGTTGAGACGTCAGCTGTGTGGTGGCAGCCAGGCAGCGATCGAAAGGATGATCCATTTTGGAAGAGAATTACAAGCCATGAGTGAGCAACTAAGAAGAGAATGTGGGAAAAACACGGCGAATAAGAAGATGCTCAAGGTATATTTTACCTGGAAATTGTGGCATTAAGTGGAATAACTGTGCTGCCCAGCAGAAACTTCCCACAGCATGGGGCATGGCAGTACTGTGCTGCTTTAACTGCTGCCATTTTGTTGTTGTTGTGGTCTGAGAGCAGTGTCCTAGTCAGCTGTGATGCAGCACTGTCTCCTGGCTTGCCTGTGTAGCGCATTCACAGGGAAGATACTTTCATACTGTGCTACAGTTAAACCCAGAGATAAATTTAGCACTTCTGTCTCATTTCTGGCCATGTAACTTGGTCTCTTGAAACAAAGTGCTGTTCTCAGCTCTAATGATGATCCATGCGAAAGAGGATTGATACAGATGCCCAGAATGTGCTCTCTTTGATGCTGATCTGTTTACCTTGATCTAAAATGGCTCTGGAAAAGAATTCCCCTGCCAGAGACTGACTGCATGCAGTTTTCAGTTTGTTTTCTTTTCCCCCATCACTTACTAAAATACCACTCCCATTTGTCTTTCTGTTGGGGAAAAACACTGCTTACTCAAAACGGCACAAGTCCCGTTAAATTTCTTTTTATCCTTTTGTACTGATGAAGGTCACTGACAATCACCTTTGTGATTCTGAAATCAGAATGGGTGAATAAAATAGTCCTTGTGTTCACTAGTAACATATAGCTGCAAGACATAATAAAAATCACCTTTCCACAGGATGCATTCAGTTTACTGGCGTATTCGGATCCCTGGAGCAGCCCTGTTGGAAATCAGCTTGACCCGATACAAAGAGAACCTGTGTGCTCTGTACTTAATAGTGCAATACTAGGTGAGTACATACAACCCGGGTGGTTTGTATGTATGGTAGGGAGAGCCTGTCATTTGAGACTGCTGCCCATCTGCTGGGCTTGGTACAGGGGTGACTGAACCATTAACGAAGTGTATGGGAGCACTGTACTGCCTGGGCTGGTGGCAGTTAAAGGTTTGTGGTGTTCTTGCTATAACTTGCCATAAACATGAACAATCCTTCACTAAAAGAGTTTTTCCCTGTCTTCTCTCCTGTGAAAATAGGCTGAGGGAGTTGGGCTTGTTCAGCCTGGAGATGGCTCCAGGGAGACCTTAGGTGCAGCCTTCCAGTACCTGAGGGGGGCCTTTATGAGCTTTAAGGTCCATTCCAACCCAAACCATTCTGTGGTACTTTTGGGGGCACATTATTGTAACAAATGTAGCCATCTTTGTTGTTCAAAGCAAAATTGGTCCTGTTCAATAATGGTGTTATGCAGGGAATTTGCAAGTGTCACTTTTTTGCTCTATCTTGATGCAAAAGCAAATACAGGAATTTTGTATGAACAATTTAAGCTTAAAATCAAAGTTTTCAGTGTATTACCAGGAAATTAATGGGGTGTTTTAACTGCTGCTGTTATTCTTTCCCAGAGACTCACAACCTGCCAAAGCAACCACCGCTTGCCCTGGCAATGGGACAAGCATCACAGTGTCTGGGATTGATGGCTCGATCAGGAATTGGCTCCTGCGCCTTCGCCACAGTGGAAGACTACCTACACTAGCTATGCATTTGAAGACCTGAAAGGTGTCATGTCATATTAAACATGGAAAGCAGGCCAGCTCTGCTGACTGGAATTTGGGATTTTAATTATGTACTAAGGACAAGTCTGTTGCTTTATGTTGCTTCCTAGTTTACAGCATGATGCAAATGATTTCTAACTTAGTGTTAGGAGAAAATTTCCATCTTGAAACCTCTTAGACAACTAAGAGTTGAGAACATCACTGATAAAGTCAGACATCCAGACTGACAAGTACCGGTCCTTTAAACGATTGTCCAAAACAAACCAAAAATCCTGCTACCTTGTGGTGGGACAGAAGGGCGGAAAAGGCAGATGTATTAGCATGTGGGTGACGTACATGTCAAGCAGGATGACTTGCCAACCTCCACCCCCATTGTTACATAGTTCAATCAGTGTAATTTGCAAAACACAAATGGTTTGGATATATAGTGTTGATGGGAAGAAACGATATTTTTTAATGTGTACTGTAAAACTTGAATTACTCAGGAGCTGAGTGAATATGTTTGTTGCTACTTACAATCCCAGCCTGTTGATCTTAGTAGGTTTTTTTTTGTTTTTGTTTTAACATGGTCTTTTCAACTTTGTTTCCTTGTTTAATTACGGACAGCTTCTGTTGTGTAGACTCACCAGTTTAACTGTTGTATTATAACAGTATTACATGTCAACACAGTGTGGTTATGACCTATTTATATAAAAACCAAATATTTAGTCAATTTACAGTCTTAATTTAATCTTTGTACACCTTGCATTTTTAAAAGTGCTTAAATAGTACTATATTGCAATAAAATGTAGTGATACCATAATTAACCAGCCATTAAAAACTTACTTCTACATACATGGTAGCATGGAGGTGTATGCTACGTTTTCTTGGTTCCAGAGTTCTGTCCCAGGACAGCGCTTCTTGTGTCAGCCTATTCAGAGAGGTGGCTCACTGCTTGAATGAGAGATGCCCCTTCCCTGCATGGGAGCACTGTACTGCCTGGGCTGGTGGCAGTTAAAGGTTTGTGGTGTTCTTGCTATAACTTGCCATAAAGCAAGTTTAGTGAGCTGCAGAGTCAGGGCACCGATGGAGCTTAGTTGGTGCTCCCTGAAGATGGGGAAAAAAACCTGCTTTCAGTGTGACCATCAGGCTGGACAGCAGTGGCCTGCTACATGAGCTGGCTGAGTGACTCTGGTGCTAGGGAACAGCCTTTCTCTAGAGATGCAAAGCAAAAATCATTGACTGCTGTAAGAGATGCAGGATCCAAAGCAAGTTAAGTACAACACTGTTCATCTTTTTATTCTCTACAAAGGAACTGGATCAGGGAGGCAGCTCTCCAGGGCTGGTAGAAGCTCCTGCTGTTGTAAGTCAATCTGAAGCAGAGTAACTGCACATGCCCAGCTGTTCCTTAGCTTCCCCTTCAGACAGGGGGAGTGAAGAGAACAGGGAGGTCAGTTCAGGCACTGTATTGTGAAGGTGGGTGCTTCCTGGGGGCTCCTGGCTGGAGCTCCAGAGTGAAGTCATGATGCAGCAGCGAGGGAGAAAAACACCTTTGTTGGGTTGAGAGGCTAACTTCCAATAAAAGTCCTTGGTAGCATCTTCTGAAAAAGCTGTCTTCATACTCACATTTTAAGCTGTGTTGAGAGCCAACGTCTTCTAAACTTTGCTGCTTTTTGCTTTTTTTCTTGCCCTTAAAAGAATAAAAAGCTGTTAGCTACCATTTTTCTTAGCCCACCTACAGGAGAAGCAGCTGTGCACTGATTTACTGCAGTAGTTCAGAACAGAACTGACTGGAAAGCTGATAAAACTTTCTTATATTTTGCTTTCAACAGCTGCCTTCAACTGGCCAGAGGCACCAGTCTCCTTCAGGGTCTAGCACTGCTTTCACTTCTGAAACACAAATGAAATGCACATGCTGCCTATTACAGACCAGCAGTTTTTGCCTGCAGTGCTCACAAGCCTCATGGGTTGTGGGTGTGTGGCTGGAACTGACTGAGGTCCCCTGCCTATCACCACTCATGTCTCTGTCATTTTTTTAATGAGAAGTAGGTGTTAATTCCCTATCCTCATGTGGAAGCATCTCTACTTAAGTAAGTTTTACACATACCTGAAATGACTTCCAACAGCTCAGAGATTTTTAACAATTAGTATTTATCAAGCAAACATAGTTCCAGGCCCATACGCTGTTTCTTAGTGTACCAAAACTCAGGTCATTTTTTCAAGGCATGTCTTACATGCCCTTCCTTGAGGAGGGCCTATCTAGCCAATCAGGCTGCAATGACCTCTTACCCTTCCCTTGCTATCCGCTTCTTTGGAGTTAGTTAGAAGGTAGCAAGACAGACCCTTCCAACATGGGAAAGGTGTTTTGTTTTTCTAGAGTACTTTAAAACCACCTACGTAAGAAGTAGTTCCTACTGTGGCTTTTTATACTCACCCCATGCTTTGTCCACAAACTGAACTGCAGCTTTTTTAACTGGGTTTTTCTTGTTTTCAAGGGAAAAAAAATAGTTTGCTGAAACAGAGATGAGTGTTAATTACCAAGTTTAGCCTAGAGAAATCCAGATGCAGACCCACTGAAGGAAAACTGCTTACGCTGCACCCGGTTGGCATGTGGTCCGTAGAGCTGAGCGTTTATGAAGTCTTTGGCCAGCTGTTGCTGGAGGCCTGTTAAATTCTGGTCTTTTAAGCACACAGCTGTATAGTTTCCTGTTGACCTAGTTGAACAAAAGAGCTGTAAATCCCTGCAGTGTAGTTACAGAACCCAGACAACAGGCACGCTACTAGCCAGGGCTTTGCTACTTGGGCACAACACTGCCTGGTGGAGGTTTCTTGATGCTTAGCCAAGCTTTGTAGCTGTAATTAAGAAAATAAAACAATGGACCAAGACCCTCAACCTGTCACCATACGCCTTTATGTGCCTCACACTGTTCCTTGGGAGTGTTGAACCAGTCTCCCCAGGAGCCAGTGCAATTCCTCTACAGGGACAAAGTGACAAAGAGGAAAGACTGAAATGCAGGAATTTAGTGCTCAACAACCAGACCTATAGCAGCACAGAATACAATGCCTAGTGCTGCTGTGCTTATGACTTCCCAGTTACGTCATAGCATATATATATGTAATAGGTAAAACTTTATATTCTAGATTATATATATACACGTATCTTACACACATGCTGTATCAGAAGTATATTAAAGGTGCTTTAGCACATGCTTTCAGAGGAAGAGCAGAGGAAACATCAAATGAAGAAGACAGCACAGCCATACAGTGACAGAGCAGGAGCTGTGAGACCCCCCTGCACAGGCAGAGGTGCCACATGGGAATGGGGACAGACACCCTGGATCTTCTCCCAGTGTACCTGGTGCCCTTTCTTTTTTTGTCTTTCTTCACCAGCTTTTTGACTTGGCCTTGCCTTTGGACTTGCCCTTGTTTCTGCTTCACAGCCCCACCTCCACGGTGTTTACCTAAGGTAAATTGAATAGAAAATGTCCCAGTTATGCACCAAGAGCTGCAAGTAAAAGAGGGACAGGAATGAAACAACTGTTATTAGGCTGCAGAAAACAAGAGGTCTCTAGGTAACTCCAGTAGGCATTTTTCAGCAGCTCTGAGCAGTCAGCTAGAAAGCACAGCCACCACAGAAGGGCTGTGAGAGGAAAATAGCAGCGCACCTCAGGGGAGCCACCCAAAGTACTGGCAGCCAGCTTGCCCCTTCCTTGGCATACCTTAACTTCTTTAACACCACAAAACAGGATTCATCAGGACAAATACTGAATGCAGCACAACAGCTATGAGTAACAAAGGGGAGTCCAGCTTCAGCTTCATTCTCACAGTAAGTAAAGTACTGTGGCTACTGAGTGTTCAGAGCAGTATCCTGAGCTCATCTTTTGTTTATGCCAACAGATTTTTTTAAAACAATAGTAAAAATAGCAGTTACACCTCCCAGCTATGTAACTATGTGAGTACACATGAAAGAGTTGTTTAAAAACAACCCAACACTTAAAAGTATTTTGAAGTACAGGTGAAGAGGGCAACAAAACAGCTGTCAGGAATACCCCAGACGTTTGATTTCCTGGATCAGAAGTTGAAAAAAAGTTACCTGATTTTTTTACAGATGCTGTTAAATCATAACATGATATGTAAAGAACTATCAATGTGATGAACAGCTCCATCCAGGAACAGCCTTTATAGCTTAAATGCTAAATATTAATCTCCCTCCGGTAATCCTTGCTTTTTCTGTAATACCTGCCTCCTTTCTCCTAAACACCACGGGCTACTTTAACTGAAACCACTGTACAGCAAACAACTTCTGTAAGCAGCGCAGGAATCAGATTAAATGCAACTTTTTTTTCCACATATGTTTTCGCTTGCCAACACCGTTCTGCCTGTCCAGCCTCTTCACATTTCAGACCTTAAGAGATGCTTCTCCTACTGCAGCTCTAACACTAAAACAAAGTCCCGAGGTGCCAGGCAGTGCACGCAGGTAGCAGGCCAGGCACTAGTATACCTGGGTTAGCTGCCGCAGCCTTCTTCTCGGGTCTGTGGAGGAGACAAGGCAACGCGTTACTCCTCCAACCCACCCTTGGAGCCCCCTCAAGCCCCATCTCCACCCCGTCCTCCCCCTAACGCCAGGCCCCGGCGGGGCCACACCATGGGCCTGCACCCCGGCACCCACCCACCGCCTCACGTCGCCGCTCACCGTGCGGGCGGCGCAGCGGCCAGCTCCTGCAGCACGGCCTCGGGGAGCAGCTTTCGCTTCTGCGGGGAGAAGGGAGCTGTTAGCGGGGCGGGAAGCGGAGGCGCTGCCGCCCGAGGGCTGCGGGAGGGGGGTGCGCGGTACCTTCTGCTCCGCAAACAACTCCTGGCGCCGCCGCCGCTTCTCCTTCAGCAGCTCCCGGTGCCTGCGGGGAGGCGGGATCCGCCGTCAGTACGGGCTCAGAGTGGGGAAAGGAGGGGGATGGTGATACCTGGGGGTGGGAAGAGATGAGGGCTCCCGCGCGAGTGTCAGTACCTCCGGGCCGCCTCCCCCACGAGCTTCCGTTCGGTCTCGGCCGCTTCCTTCGCCACGCCAAAGGACACCTCCTCCGGGGCCTCGTCCGCCTCATCCTCCGAGGAGGCCGGCCCCAGGACCGCGAGGGGCACCCCGCGTCTGCCCGCAGCCCCCTTCAGCCGCCGCGCCATGGCCCCCACACCGCCCGCCTGACCCCCGCCCCGGAAGCGCTCCCTGCTGCACGCGGCTCCGCCCCTCCCCCCTCCAGCCGCGCACACGCACACGCACGCACAGACGACCCGCTGAGGTACAACCGGTGGTGGCGGGACCGGAGCCGAGCCGGCCCGGGCCCGGCCTTGCGTTTATTGCGGTGGGGAGCAGGGGAGGGGCAGTACGACGCGACCCGCCGCCGCCTCCCACCCGTCCCAGCCCCCGCCGGGCGCCAGGCCCGGGCCGCGGCTGCCAGACTTGGCGCTTCCCCGCCGGGCCCTCCCGAGGTGCTCAAGAGATGATCTCCGTCTCGTGGCGAGCCAGCGCCGGCGGCAGAGTGGTCCCGCAGGGGCCCGAGAAGTGGAACCTGTAAGGAAGCAGCCGTTTGAAGGGGCAGGCACGACCGGCGTCACGCTGCTTGCTTCTCGCAGCCCGGGTGCATTTGACAAGCAGGTAGCAAGTTAGCCCCGCTGCTGAGGGAGGGGGACTTCTAGGACACAGGGACAAACCTCAGCTTCACACTTAGAAACATACAGTTGTGTCTTCATAGATTGGGTTGGGTTGGAAGGGGCCTTAAAGCTCATCCAGTTCCAACCCTGCCACAGGCAGGGGCACCTTCCACTAGACCAGGTTGCTCAAAGCCAGGTCCAAGCTAGCCTTGAGTACTGCCCGGAATGGGGCAGACACAACTGCTCTATTAAGAAGTGCAAGAACTTACTTCAGTGTTAATTCTACCAAGAAAGCGCAATGGCATCTTCTTACTTATTAGAAGAAAATAGTATTTCTTAAACATAGGGGAAAAAAACCTAGATCATGTTTGTTTAAAATTCTGTTAAGCATTTCAGCAGTTCAAAAGAGTGAAGATGCAGGTGACTAAATTTGCTAGTTTAAAACTGAACAGCTTTACCTGAATCTGTCTGTAGCAGGAGTAGCTTCCATGTTAAACTCTGCGACTGGCACTCCTCTAGCAGATACCTGTGGGGCAAACATCGCAGCAGGATACACCACAGAGGAGGTTCCGACCTGCAGGCACAGGGCAAAAAACTGAGTGTAGCAGGCCAGCACTTAAACAGGCAAAACAAAACCAAACCAACCCACAACGCAAGGACCCTTCTCAGAACACTGGATGTGCAAAACCACTAAAGCATGAAGATCCCTACAGAAACTAAGCCAAATCAGTATCTGTATTTAGTGTCACTGCACGTGTAGCAGAATTGGGAGTGGTTTCTCTGATGTAACCCAAAGAAACGTGTTTGCGGATTATAACTGGAAAGACCTTGTGTTCAGGAAAACAAAACAAAATGTTCCTTCTGTTACTTGGGGTTAGTCTGTGAAGGGTACACAATATTCCAAGTAAGTGTTTGGGTCAGTGAGCTGGAACCAGTGAGCATGTAAACCACCTCACAAAAGAATGCAGTCTGTGATAACAGCTAGCCACCTTCTTACCGCATTTTGTCACTTTTTTCTTAGCTGAGCCTCAAAATAATCATAATTTTCACTGTTTGAGAAATTCAACAGCTAAACAGTGTTACTGAACCTCTAACCCTTGAACCTCTAACCCCTGTGTATACTGAATGCAGATGGCAGGTGCCAGCTGAGCATGATGCACACATGCTGAATCTGCTGATTTCCAAGTAGTGTATGTACGTTTTCAAACTTCATGGCCTTTTAAAGTGTCACACGACACCAGAGAATCCTCGGGGGCTTTTAGTTTCCTCAGGGAAGCGTGCATGCAACCCCTTTAGTGTGGCTTCCCCGCTGGTTGCGAGGCCAGGTAACAAGTGCGTCACTCACTACCAAGCAGAGGTCACAAATATCAAGCTCCTTCTCCACCTCAGTGAGAATGTCAGGATCTAGGGTTTCACCAAACCACACAACATGGGGACGGAGGAGCCCATTGCAGCCGTCCTCCTCACACCTGTATGAAAAAGGAACAAGGTTGCACATGGTTGTTTTCATTCTCATTTGGGCATATCTTACCTGCCTTTGATCCTCCACTTCTCTCTTTCACAGCCCTACCCATACCCTCTACTGCGAGCTGGGCAGAGGGCACCTGATGGTGTGCCACACGTATGCTGGAAATACACATGTGCTGCCTGGCCAGGTGGAACATGTTGCTGAACAGTTGTGCAACTCAGATACTTAGTGGTATTAGCCGCTTACTCAGTGCCTTAAATGCATGAAACTTCAAATACAGTATGTGCTACAGACCACCTCAGCCTCCATCAACTTTAACAAACTGGCCAATGGGTTTTTAAGGAGAAAGTGAACTGACAGATGTATTGTATTAGCTTCCTTTCCTTAGGAACCAGATGAAAAACATGGTGGTCTCTTGCATCTGCAGCCGTTATAAAATAGCACCATGACACATTTAATGCCTGCAAAGGACTATGCTGTGGCTGTGCTGCAGCACAGTTCTCCAGATTGACTAATGGTAGGCAGCACCCACAAAGTAGCAAATGTTTACTGTGTAGCACTTAGTTTCTTACTTCAATTCTACTATGACTCCACTCACTACAAGCCCCATGAATTTAGGCATGTTTCAGCTTGATGCTCAAGTACAAAAACGTGCCATGCCTTTCATATCACAGTAAACTTCCAGTGCACACTCCTGTTATCTGCTGTCTCCCCTAACTTTAGATCAGTTCTCTGAGGAAAAGTCATGCCTTTCTCCTGGAGAAAGTCTCCATGTCCTTCCAAAACTACATGAACAGTAATATAAGCCTCCAAGATGCACAACAAAGCATAAAGGGGTAACAGCAAAACACAAATTAGTCCTTACGTACTGAGGAAGCTCTTCAACTGGAATCGCGGCATCCTGTGTGTCAGGATCTGGGGCCCTGAAGTACAAAATCGCAATATGTATTCAGCCATACAAAGTGCATTTGGTACATTAATAAAAACTCAGTATTCTCTAAAGCACACTCTCCAATCAAGAAATCTTTGCAACTTCAGCCAACTTCAACACCTACCACAACCCTACCATACCACACACAGGGGAAGCAGCTGTTTATCCAGGATTATCCCAGAGGTAAGCAACTGTCCTAAGCTGGTCAAACTCCAACAGAGGCACAACAAACATTTAAGTAACTACCTAAAGGTCTGGTGAAATGCAAAGGGAAAATACCTAAAAACCTATGACCGTATGCCTCTCCCCTTTTTTTTTAGAGGTGAAAGCAAGAGGATGGCTATAAAAAGGTGACTGAAGGATTTTTCTGCAACTTTTGAAGTTACAGAAATCCTAGGAACTGACACATCCCTCACAATTGTTTATTACATCTCTATTTTGAGGCCTGTAATAATGAGAATCTTACTGAGGAGATGAAGGGCAAATGCTGCTACGTGCTAGCCATAGAAGAGGATAATACATGTATCGAGCAATGGCAGTCCAATTTTAGGAATAAGCACCTGATTTAATAAAAAACCTGGGAGGTGAAGAGGATGGCAGAAAACACATTCTCAAAGAGTTAAATTAGCTGATGTCCAAAATAAGAGTTTCAGACTGTCTGAAATTCTTCTAATTAAAACATACTTAATATTGTGCTAACAGTTATGCTTTCACGGGACTTACAACATCATGGGCTCTCACTGAAGTTACTGAACAGCACACTCATGGTTCCAAACAGCTGTGTAAAATTTAAGTGTTAATACTACTGATGTAAAACAGGATGGGCAGCCAAAACTCCTGCATGCTCCTAAAATGGCTCCTTTCCTACTGTACAGCAGACAAAGTAGGAAATGCAGTTTACAAGCAGATGTTTTAATTACCCTTTCCCAGCCAACGCGGGGCATATTGGACTCTTGTAATTTGCAGCTACGTTTCCACAGTTGGTGCATCGAGTTCTAAATAAACTACCTGAAACACACCGAGAGAAAACATCAGGGATCGAACAACTCGTCTGGGGCATGGCTGTGTGAGCAAGTGGTTCTGTTTATCCTGTATGGCCTTTATTTGACTTTGAAGACTACACCTCGTGAGTAACTTGGGTAACACTACATGAATGTAACAGCCAAGTACTGAAACTTGCCAGCATTATGAAGGAGATTATTTACACAGTGCAAACACATGTTTTTGTTCAGCAACCCGAGGTGACCAGTGCCACTGTTAAGCACAGGCCAGACCCAGCAAAGAGACACAACACAGTCCCTTCAGCTGAAAGGAAACAGAGAAGAGCAACAACAGTCCCTTTAAAACTATGACTCAATCAAAATTAAACTATGCCCAATGCATATGAAGTACCCCAAACGACTTCCAAAAGAGAACATGGTGTTACAGTAAATAACTTTGTGCAAGTTATTACCATTTTAAAGGCAAGTTTCTCCCAGTACTTATCCTGCTCTCTCTTCTTCCCCTTGGGTTTGCTGGCCCATAAGCAGACAGGTAAGCTGGTTCTTACCGTGGATTTCTAAGAGGTGCTTTGTGCCTGCCTTTCTGTGTAGTTCATCAATATTCTGAGTAATGACCACAACGCTCCGTCCTTGCTTGCTCAGTCGCTTTTCGCACTCTGCAATGGCAATATGTGCAGGGTTCGGGTGTTTACTCAACATCACCTCCCGGCGGTAGTGGTAAAACTCCCACACACGAGAAGGGTTTCGTGCAAAAGCCTCTGGAGTAGCCAGCTCCTGGAAAAGACATGACAAGTCATGCTACCAGCGAAAGGGCAAGAAAATGCCCTCCCCAGATGAAACCAGCTAGATTCCTGCCACTTACACTGCTCCCAGCACAAGATTATCAGAAGCAAATTATTTATAACCAGATGCAGTTGATGAAAATATACTTCAATAGCCCTTATAGGGATGACAAGTCCAATTATCTTATTAAATGAGGAAATAACCAATATCAACAGTGACATGATTTTACACAGTACACCTGCACTGCCCCACCAGATTAGAGCGTCGTGCAGCACAAAGGAAGATATTTCAATGCACACAACTTTTAGGGTTCAAAACTCTTTTTCACAGCAGCCATAAAACCCAATATTATGTGGACATATTTCCTTTGCTAGCAACTTCTTTTCTGCCTTAAGTGTAA